ACCATTTCCATGGCCCAGACACAACGTGAGTATTCTTTGTCAACTCGTACATGAATTCCTCTCTACCTGATGTTAAATGTAGGCTCCAGACTCTCAGTTCCTATTGACCTGACATTGTGTGTTTCCTCTGCAGTCTTTGCTTGGGAAGCCTATGAGAAGGGATCTGAAGTTCACCTCCAGGCAGATCCAACCAAGCTGGAGCTTCTCCATCAGTCCTACAAAGTCAAAAAGGACGATTTCAAAGAGAAACAGAAAGAGAGTATTTTGGAAAAGGTACAGTTTAGAATCTCTTTTTTTTATTTTACACCTAGCAACAGTTCCTCCTTCCCCTACTTGTGCGTGCTGATGGCTTCATGTCGCACCTCTGCAGTATGGTGGGCAGGAACACTTGGACGCCCCTCCGCGAGAGCTTCTGCTGGCTCAGACAGAAGAGTATGTGGAGTATTCTCGTCACGGGGCTGTGTTGAAAGGACAGGAGAAGGCTGTGGCCTGTTCCAAATACGAGGAGGACGTGCTCATTAATAACCACACGGTAAGTTAGCTGGCACTATTGGAAATGTTACGTAACTGGACCAGTTATTACCAAAGATTTTGTTTTATGGATGCTAAAGATTTTTTCCTTCGACTTTTGCAGTGTATCTGGGGATCGTATTGGAAAGATGGCCATTGGGGTTACAAATGCTGCCACTCGATGGTGAAGCAAAGTTACTGTACAGGAGAAGCTGGCAAGAAAGTTGTGGTGGGTATCAGATGTGTATCCATTGTATGTTATTATGTATCAAAGCATTTGTTTTGTCTTATTTGTTTTGTTTTTATTATTATTAAATGCATAATATTTTTATTATCTGTTTTTATCCAACACAAATCTGCTCTAAAAACAAGTTTTCTGCTTATTTTTTCAGAGCAATTCTTGTATTCCATTTGAAGATGATGTAGAGGAGGCCGAAACGAGTGAAGAACCAAAGACTCTTTTACAGGTACATTAACGGCCGCCTTCTTTTTGTGATCTAATTCCAATGGAAGAACATGGCAGGAAGATGATTGTGTTTTACTAATATGTTTTTTAATCACAGATGCACCAGGAAAAAATGAAAGATAAGAAGAAGAAGAAAAAGAGCAAGAAACATAGAGATTCTGACAGCAGTGATGAGGAAGATGAAGCAAAAAAGAAAGAAAAGCTGAAGAAGGTAGGTGGGCTGTTCCTGCCACACAAGGTGCTCTACAAAGCCTATTGTAAAAGAAAAATACTGTGTTTTCTGTGCAGGCATTGAGTGCGGAGGAGCAGAGGCTGAAGCAGGTGGCTGAAATGATGCAGTTCGATGAGAGGAAGCGACCGTACAACAGCCTAAAGGAAGTGCGTGAACCCACAGAGGAGGAGATGGAAGCCTTCCGCATGAAACGCTGCCGACCAGATGACCCCATGGCCTCTTTCCTGGGGCAGTGAATGAAAACATAAATGTCTTTGTCACCAACCACAGAGATCTCATAGTCTCAGTTATTGTAAAATCTTTTATTACTGATTCTTACTTATTGAGTTAATAATGGGAAACATCCCATATTATTAGCGCCTGAAAGTCTGTTAGAAGTTTTCGTTTTTTGTATAACTCTGTGTAGATTATAGTAGAAAATACATTTTCATAATGTGTTATTTTTATTTTGACAGTACATAAACATTGTTTTATTAGTCTTTTGATTATAAATTGCCCAATAAATGACAAATGGGTTTTGTTTGGGGAATCATCTGTTTTGATTTAACAGATATGTTCCATTCTCCCTTTCCAAGGTATTTAAATGGATTCATAATGAAAATAACTTGACCAGTGGTTGACATTAAACATATTTAAACCTGAACATGGCTATGTTTGGTTTTGTTATGCTTTCTAAGCAACATGTAATCCAAATCATTGCAAATATTCAGAAGTGTTGAGCGTGTTTGATGTAAACAAGCACATTTTACATGGCTGCCTTTTTGTAGTTTTGTATTATCTAAAGCTACTTGCATTGATTTTTGGGCTGCAGAATTATACTATAATAGTCTGACAAGTTTTCAAATGAATCCCCTCCCCCAGTTCGTTCAATTACATCATGGATGAAGTATCTGGCAGAGCACTGTGCTAAAACTGGGTGGATGCTTGCAAAGTTGTGTGGAGGACGTGTAAGATACAAATCGATTCACAATCTTGTTTATATTCTCCGCTTTAGCCAAAAGAGCTGCTGGACCTTTGCATTGCAACTGCAATCTCATTCCTCTGGTGAGGATTTTTTCTAATGCATGCTTTGAATTTGTTGTATAATTGTGTTCTGTGATCTGTTAATTACATTTACTACCTAAATAAAACTGTTCACTAATAAGTCAAGTTACAACCTGCATGTATATAATGTGATTTATGCACTTGTTTCTGTGCTTGACGCTGTATATGTATATCCGTCTGCTCTGTTTGCAGGCACAGCTGCATCATGCATCAGTTGCCGCTGGCTGTTTGCCTGCTGTCTCTGTTCTCTGTGTTGACTGTAGACTCATCCAAGAATGGACGCAACTTCACCATTCATTCATCACAGCTTAGCTGCAGTTTGCCTGGCCCTCAGGGTCCTCCAGGGAGTCCAGGTGCAGCAGGTCCCAGTGGTAACGTAGGCAAGATGGGGATGCCAGGTGTTGATGACCAGGATGGGAAGGATAGTGACAAGAGACAGAAGGGAGAGAAAGGTAAAGCATATGATCATGTCTGTTGCGGTTATAATGCCATTAATGAAAAATAACATTCAAAGTGTTAAAATATATTTTATTTCTATAAAATATTAAATTATATTATCATTTAAAAATATTTTTTTATCTGATGAATTTTTAATTTTGGTTTATATTGTTTTTTATCTGTAGTATCTTTTTTATAGCTCAAGGTCACATAAAAATATATAAAAGTATAAATATGAAATCACGGACAAACAATGAAAATAAAATAGGTGAGTTGTTTCATAATACATGATCAAATCAGTCTGCAAAATAAATAAAGACACCAAAGACATTTGTGAATTTTCTTCTCAAATGTTAGGGGAACGGCCGTCCTGGGAACCCTGGAAAACATGGACCCCAAGGACGTCCAGGGCTTGTTGGGAAGGCAAGGCCAAGGGGCCTTAAGGGGGAGCGAGGGGCACCTGGTGTGTCTGGAGTAGCTGGGATAAAAGGAGAGATGGGAGATGTGGGGGAAACCGGCGCCCCTGGAGGCTGTGACTGTGGAGCAGAGGCACAATCTGCTTTCTCAGTAGCAGTAACCAAGAGCTATCCCAAGGAACGTACGCCCATTCACTTTAACCGGATTTTAATGAATGAGGGTGGTCATTACAATGCCACCAGTGGCAAGTTTAACTGTGCGATTCCTGGTGTGTATTACTTCACATATGACATCACGTTGGCTAATAAACATCTGGCAATCGGACTTGTCCACAATGGCCAGTACAAGTTCAGAATATTTGATGCCAACACAGGAAACTATGACGTGGCCTCAGGATCAACAATACTTAGACTGCAAAGAGGAGATCAGGTCTGGCTTCAGATCTTTTATTCAGAACAAAATGGGCTGTTCTTTGATCCATTCTGGACTGACAGCCTTTTCACAGGATTTCTCATTTTTGCTGATCAGGCTGCTCCAAACGAGGCAAATATGATTACTAATTCTGGATCATCCTGATTGAACTTCACATTTGTTATATATTCATATGATCATATGGCCCCAATAATCTGTGTTTATATATATATATATATATATAAACTAATTCAGAATTTTAATAAATAGTAATATATAAATAATACTAAAATAACACTGAATGAAAAAGCACACTATAATTGAACAAATGCATCTGAATAAAGATCGAAAATAGTAATAAAGATAATCTTTTCTCTATTTAATTTTTGCTGATCAGGCTGCTCCAAATGAAGTGAATATAATGACCAGTTCTGAACTATCCTGACTGAACTTTCCATTTGTTTCATATTTTATCATATAGCCCCCAATAACCCTGTGTTTACAGATCCACCACATCAGTATTAGAGCAAAACAAGACATGGGACATGTGGAAGGATTGCCAGACTTATAAGAAATAAATCATTATTGATTAAGTATCCAAAAACACGAGTTGTCAAGACCCAAATTATTCCTTATAAATTATTAAAAAAAAACAATTTTCTTACTACAAGTATTTTTCAACTTTGACATCAGTCTTAGGCCCCTAAAAATCAGAAAAACCTTTTACCCCAAGGGACTTTTAGCCACGTTGTACACTGATGTTAGATACACATGACCTTTGATCTTCTACAAGACTGTTCTATTAATGATTTCCCCCCATTTCTATTGTTTATTTACTATTCACATCATCTGACCTTGTATTCTACTACAGTTCAAAGGTTTAGTAGACCTTGTCCACGCTGTCACTGGAGATTAGTGTAACCCTCTTTTTGAAGTATAATTTTGTCCGAAAATAGCAGCCAACCATGCTGCTGCAATCATCTAATCAATACAGGTTCATGGGCAAAACTACTATGTACACAAACAGTAGAGCAGTTGTTGAGCCTGTGATCACTTGTGTTCAGTAAAGGTTAAGTAATGATACTATGCGATATTTGTATCATACTGCAATTTGCCCCTCATATCCCACTGCAATATCAATACATGTACACACGCTATTTAAATGTGCATATTTTAGCAGAACGATAGCCTTTCGTTTTATTTACGCTGTAATTCTGCCGGTTCATCCACTGATGTCTCTAATAGGCTACGAGTATCTCTTCTTATACCAAGAGTATTCCTAGAAAATCATGTCACCAAATATGGAATGTGCTTATGAGCTCTGAAAATCGTACTATGTACGTCAATGGTGACGAATTATTACAATTTCCATACGTCTTAGAACGTTCGACTCTGATTGGCCTGAGTAGCTCCAAGCCCCTCCCATTGTACGGATTTTACTTCAGAAAAAGCACGGGGTGTCCTTTGACAGGAGGACTAAACCATTCATTGTTGTGTAGGTGAACATCGCGTGAAAACATGTTGCCTTTTTTGTATTTTTGTACATATTTTTTAGATTAGTTTGAAATGCTGAAATCCTGAGTGTAGTCGTAATATTTCATATAGAGAATATCTTAATACATTATGCTATTTTATTAGTGCATGAAAACCTAATCTACTGAACTCCCCTATCAAGACGTGTCACCCTGGAATATGAGGAAACTTCTACCGGCATTTTTCCATACAATTAAAAGACAACGAAACATGTCTAAGTAGTGTCAAAAATGGCTTTTACAAGTGTTATATAGGTTTGTAAACTTATTTCTTGCTAAGCCATACTTAAAGCCATAGCTTGGCTTTTATCAGTTTAAACTGCGGTTCGAAGGACTGTCGATCGAAGAAGAACAATGTATCCGGCCCGGCGCTGTTCATCGCGGCTTCACCGAGACCTGGCCGCTGTCTGTCGCTCATCACTGGGGACACATCCAAAGAAGTCCGGTCCGCTGAAGAAAAGCAGTCCTCCTCCAACAAGGTCCAACTCTTCAGCCGTTCTGCTCAGTTCTTTACAAGGTAATTTAAGATTTCGTCCCGCATTCTTTCCGTTTCTAGACAGAAGGTGACTTGGAATGACAGTCTAATCAGTTCTTAGGGTTATAACGTTATGTGGTGCAGTGTGAGAGGATTGAGGAGAATCTTATGTCTAAATGTAAAGCATGTGATTTGAGATCATATCACTTAGTGTGTCTCTCGTGCTCTAACACAGATGACTCATGTACAGTAAGATGATTGTGTCATACACCCTCTGAGGTGTGGAATATTGCATCTTCCCATAGCAAATATCCAAAAACCGTGTTGTTTTAGATGTAAAAGGCATTTTATGATCTTGATTCAGATGCTTTTGTTGTTTTATAATTCTCGAACAAATCTGTGGCCAAAAGCAGTATTGTTTTAGTATTATTTATACTATCATAGTATTCATTTTGAATTAGCTTTATTTTCATATTTTCATTTTTCATTTTAATTTTAGTTGAAGTTACGTGCATTCGTCATTCTTTAGTTTTTTTGTTAACATTTCTATTCAGCTTGAATTTCTTTTTATTTCAGCTTTAGTCATTTTAGTACTTCATCTAATATTTATATTTTATTTCAGTTACCAAAAATGATATTTAGTAAGATTAAGAAAAAGAAAGAAAAACGACAAGTCTTTAGATTTTCATACTCTTTTGTCTTGTGAAAATGTTACAATTCTGAAGGAAGTTTGGTATATAATTTTGTTACATTATTATTATATTTAGTTTTTCTTAATATTGTTTGCTTGGGTTAGTTTGGTGTTCTCTACTTAGATCTATTCTAGTGTGCCTTCAAGGTAACTTGATAGTCCTGCTGAAGGTCAGTGAACAGTATCCTTTAAACAGCCCCTAACAGTTCAATCCCCAAACTGAACAGAGTTTTTCTAGGTTATCTGAGTGAGATATGCTCTCTTGTTAGATTTATCAAACTCGTCCTCTGCATCATCTGTGCAGTTGCCTTGTAATATTAAGCAGAAAGGACAGAATATGCATGTATGTGCCTGTGATCAGCTAATGAAAAGATGGAAAGCGACAAACACATGATACTTTAAATCAACAAGGTTTTGTTAACCAGCGAACAGATAAAACTCTGTACAGTGGAAGTGATTCCAGCTGTGTGTGAACAGATCCCCCCTGCAGGACTGCTCTTCTGTAAGGAATTTGACCTGGAACAGGACAAGGTCTGGGAACAGTGATGTTATGTAAGGTAGACTGAATAAGCAAATAAAAGCAGCTCCAGTAATTGCTGGGGTATTAACAGTGAGGAACTAGTATTTTGCCGATTGCAAATGGTAAAATTTGGATTTATAATAGTATAAAAACCCTCAAAAAGACAGTAAATGCCTGCAAAAATCTATCCACAGCAAGGATGTAACCAAGTATTTAATATTGACATGGTCCAAAGGCAGAATTTAAAAAAATCTGAAAACGCTGAAAAATCCATAATAATTAACTACTAGTGTGGACATGTCCTCATAAAGTCTATGTTGATTACATCCTTAATCCAAGGTGTAGCTTCTCATTAAAGCGGTCATATGATGTTGCTAAAAAGAACATTATTTTGTGCATTTGGTGTAATGAAATGTGTTTATGCGGTTTAAAGTTAAAAAAACATTATTTTCCACATACTGTACATTATTGTTTCTCCTCTATGCCCCACCTTTCTAAAACGCGTCGATTTTTAAAAAGCTCATCGGTCTGAAAAGCGAGGTGTGCTGTGATTGGCCAGCTATCCAGTGCGTTGTGATTGGCCGAATACCTCAAGCGTGTGATGGAAATGTTACGCCCCTACCATATTATTATGCCCTGTCCGGCCGCAGCGACGATTCAAAAACTTTAAAACCCATTATAAACGAGGCATTTGTTGCATCCAGTGGGGACATAATTTGGGCGGCGTTATGCAAATCTTCCCACATTGTGACGTAGACGTGGGGGTATGTTAGAACGAACCGTTTTAGGTAGGCGTGGTTGACTCTTAACTTTTATAAAGAATATCTCTTTGGATTTGAGACTTTAGTCTTTGCAACTTTACCGATCTTCTTTATGCACCAAGAGATTGTAACACTCCAAAGAAAAAGGAAAAATTGAAATCGCATCATGTGACCCCTTTAAATGTCATTAAGACATTTTATAGTTGGTGTGTATCATCTTCTCACCTAATGAGGTTGTCAGCATTTCTCTTAATCAGAGAATAGCTTTGTACTATTTGGTAACTAATTCTCACATTTGATGGTTTTACCAGGCCTAATTTTACATCATCAGATTGAAGTATGCATACAAGTCATATGCAGAGACAGGCAAATATGAAGTTTTACAATAATTCTTAAGTTATTAATGCAGAATATATATAATTTTAGGTAACAATGAACAACATTTCTTACAGCATTTATTAATCTAGGTAAACGTTTATTTGTAAATCTACTATTGTTCATTGTTTATTTATGTATTTTAATTACATAAAATTATTTTAATATGTTAAATATTTTATAGTTTAGGGTCTAAGAAAGAAGACTCTTATGTTCACCAAGGCAGTTAAAATAACTGTTTTCTATTTTAATATATTTTATGTAATTTAATCCTGTGATGGCAAAGCTGAATTTTCAGCAGCCATTGCTCCAGTCCTCATTGTCATGATATATGTAATGAATGAACTAATGCCAACAATTTTAAAATTGTGAGCTTATTACATTTCTGACTAATTAGCCACACTGTCTTCCTCAAACCATATATTAAATTAGAGCTGAAGTGTTTCTTCACCGTGCATAATCATGTGTGTGTGCAGGCATGCATCGGGTCCCTCTCGTGATTTTCAAATGAGTCATTGTTCAGAATGAATGGCAGGGGAAGCACAGACACACTGGTTCATTCAAGAACCCCTTTGTGTAGGAGCACACACAGATACACACACTGTCACATCCACAGCCCCCAGAATCTTCACTTACAAAAGCGTGCAAACTCAGTGGGTGGATGCTTGTGTTCTCTCTGTCTATCGTACACTAACCCACTGACCGGACACTGGATTAGTCCTGGACTCCCTCAAAGTCAAAGCGAAGTGGATTGTGCCTTTAGATCACATGCATCGGAGACAGTCAGTGGAAAAGGATATAATTAGAGGTATTTTTTAAAAGAAATATGTGAATCTTAAGATCATAAGACCTACATATACCCTGACTAGTCATTGATTTAGTTACAGTGGATGTCTAGAGATGGTGAGTTTACTTAGACAAGATGACAAATACGAATGTTTAATGCACGTGACTTATAAAACTGAACCGGTTGGTTTAAACTGTTTGGATGCTGTGTGGTTTAAATGATTACTAAGCAATGACTAGCCTTACCCATGAACAGCCCTGAGTATTCAGCAGTTGACTTTGACTGACTATTACATTAATAAAATTTTTACTTGTCACTTCTGCTTTTTCAACTTGACAAAGACATAACCAAACCCATAAATATAAAGAGAGAGAGAGACTGGATGTAGAGTTCTTGGATGTTCTATTCTTGAGGAGGTAAAGGAGACAACGGAGGTGGAACAAGATGGAGTCAGATGATATGCGTAAGATTAATTAATCAAAGCTGTGTGTCTGGCATAAACATTTAAGTCAGAATTTAAATGATCAGAATAACTACAATGTTTGATTGTGTGTTTGTTTAAATGTACATTTTATTTACACAAACAGTCAAACGTTTCAGGTCAGTAATGTTTTTTAATGTTTATGAAAGACATCTCGAGCTCACCAAGGCTGTATTTTTTTATCAAAATACAGTAAAAACAGTAATATTGTGAAATAGTATTACACTTTAAAATAACTGTTTTCTATTTGAATATATTTTAATATATATATATATATATATATATATCATGTGGATACTGATGACTACGAGTATGAGCAGGCTGACCCAAATGCGCTGTTGCGTGAATGCGAGGAGGTTTTGAGGAACCGGCCTCCTCGACTGCACCGAGACTTTATGATGACCAGAGCCTGCTCACTGCAGAACGCACCCATCCGCGTCATGCAGTGGAACATCTTAGCACAAGGTACAGAGTCTGTCTGCTTATGTCATGTGTTTGATTCATAGTTGATTCACAGGTGGTAACTTAAACCAGGGGTTTTATGCTTTTTAATGCCACCACCTTCCTATAATATAAAGGCAGCTATATATTTGCATGTATAAATACCCATTTTTACTGTGAAATAAAAATAACATGATATTATGTTTTCTCAGTAAATAATGTACTTTTATATTGCTTCTATACTAAAGCCAAAGCAAATTAAAAACTAAAAACTTTTCCCAAAAAGCATTAAGTACATGAATATACACCGTAGTTTAAAAGTTGAGATCTGTAAGATTTTTTTTATTATTTAAAAAAAAAATTTAATTAGTCTCTTAGGCTCACCAAGTTGCAAGTTCCAAATTTAATAAAAGATACAGTAAAAACAGTAATATTATGAATTATATAGCTGTTTTTATTTCAGTACATTTTACATTTTAATTTATTCCTTTGCTGATTGACCATTACTCCAGTCATCAGTGTCACATGATCAATTAGAAATCATTCTAATATGCTGATTTGCTGCTCAATAAACACTTATTGTCAGTGTTGAAATCAGTTATGCTGCTTAATATTTTTTGTGGAAACTGCGATGCATTTCAGGATTATCTTTGTTCAAAAGAACAGCATTTATTTGAAATAGAACAGTGCAAAAGTCATTTTTGATCAACTGAATGGGCCCTTGGTGAATAAAAGTATTAATTAAAAAAAAAAATGTGAAATTAATTTAATGATTAAAAAGAAAATCATACTGATGACATACATTTGAACGGCAGTACACATAAATACATAAAATAATAATAAAATACAATTCTGGACAGTGTTTATAAAGAATGTAAAGTCAAATTCTGTAATGATTTTAAAATGATTGCTTTAAACATATCTAATATATATTTGAAGCTAACCAATTGTGTTGGTATTTACATTTGTATTTTTTTCTGAATTTATGAGGCAGTCCTAGCACCCACTTCCAGCCCCCAGTTTAAAAACTCCTTGCTTAATGTTTATAAAACTGAAGACACTTCACCTTTCACTGCAATGCTCCCATATGGTGCTCAAAATGTGACGTAAATGTTCTTGTGTATCTGCAGCTCTGGGTGAAGGCAAGGACGGTTTTGTGCGCTGCCCAATGGAGGCATTGAACTGGTCAGAGAGGAAGTATCTCATTCTGGAAGAGATCCTGACCTACAGGCCAGATGTGTTGTGTCTACAGGAGGTGGACCACTACTTTGACACCTTCCAACCTGTGCTCGCCAGCTTGGGCTACCAGAGCAGCTTCTGCCCCAAGCCATGCTCCCCCTGCCTGGAGGTTCACAATAACAACGGCCCTGACGGCTGCGCTCTGTTCTTCAACCGCCGTCGCTTCCAGCTGCTCCACACCTCTCACCTCAGACTCTCTGCCATGTTGCTCAAAACCAACCAGGTTGCTATCGTGGCTACGCTTCGCTGCAGGTTCACAGGTCGAGTCTTCTGCGTGGCAGTTACACACTTGAAAGCGCGGAGCGGCTGGGAGGTGTTTCGAAGTGCACAGGGGGCTCACCTCCTCCAGCAGCTCTGTGAACTAACCACACAGTCGCACCCGGAGATGGATGATGAAAACCGGACTAGGGTTGGGGAAACTGAAGATGGTATTCCGTTGGTGGTATGTGGGGATTTTAACGCGGAACCAAGTGAGGAAGTGTACAGGCGCTTTATGACTTCTCCTCTGGGGCTAGATAGTGCTTACAAGTGTCTAAGTGAGGATGGGAACACAGAGCCGCCCTACACCACCTGGAAGATCCGGCCCAGCGGAGAGAGCTGCTCTACCTTGGACTACATTTGGTACTCAGAAAGAGCGTTCCAGGTGGACGCTGTGCTAAAGATACCGAGCGAAGAGCAGATCGGGCCGGACCGGCTTCCGTCTTATCATTATCCCTCTGATCATCTGTCACTGGTGTGTGACCTAAGATTTAGTCAGCAGCCTCATAGGTTCATGTAGCTGTCAATCATTAGTGCTCTCAAATAGGGATCCAGAGCAGCTTAGGACATTCCTAGAAGTATGTGTGCCCATGTCTGAATGTGAGAATGCATTATTGCAAAGAATGTATCATTTTATTCACCTATTTTTACCTGCTTATATAGGTCTTAATGCACCTCTTTGCTTATTATTTTCCTTGATGGAGATTAATTATTATTATGCTCTCATTGTTTGTTAAACAGAGGTTGTGCAATATATAGTAATTTATTAAGTGCTAAAGGATGATCTCAGGAAGACGCACATTCTCGATTAAAAGGTTCCACAAGTGGAAAGATGTTTATATTTATACTGACTGTATACTTTTTTTTCTTTAAGTAACACTGTAATCATTGATATGTTTGCCATTGACCAGTAATCTCTCAATACACCAGTTTATTTAAATTGTGTGGTCTCTTTCTTTAATAACAAACTAATGAATCAGAAGTCTTGCACATTCATGGAAAATTTAACATGATAACAAGCTTGACTCCGTGCAATTAAAGATGACATTAAACTTTTTTTTTGTTTGAAATTAGTAAGATTTAAATAATGAGCCAGTACATAAAAACATTACACATTGTGTTTTAGAGCTGTCTGACAGATTTTGCAGGAAACGGCATACTTCTGTCATTCGTCACATTTGTAAATAAAGGTAAGGGTGCTACTGCTACAAGCAGTGGGATTTGCCCTGAAGCCAAATCAAATGAACCTCAAACTGAAGTTTACAAGCAAAAAGCTACAGCAAACAGGAATCAACATACTTTGCATAGCATCCTATTTGTTGTGCACTGGCTGTTTATCATTTATTTGCCTATAAATAACTAGTTACTAATATCCATCATTTTACCTTATCTGAAATCAATTGGCATGGTTATATCCAATGTCAGCCATGCCAAACTTTTGTAAGGTTCTATTTAAAAAAGTATTTTCACAAGTCTAAACAATAGAGCCATATAAGCATATAAACGTTTTGAATATGGATATTTTTCTTACAAAAGCGCATCGATTCACTATAGAAGGCCTTTGTTCACCCCCCCGGAGCCGTTATTTAAGTTCTTTTGGACTGAAGCAATGCAACACCCGCCAAGTGGCATTAAACGGCTTAAAAGAGCAAAGACAATTTTTAATATAACTCCAACTGGATTAGTCTGAAAGAAGAAAGTCATATACACCTAGGATGCCTTGGGGATGAGTAAAACACTTTTCATTTTTGGGTGAACTAACCCTTTAATTACATTCATAGGATCATCAGTAACCGTAAGTACAACGTTGCGCCTCAAGCCATCGGAATCATCCGCATAGACTGGCGGAACCGAAGCACAACTCGCCTAATTACCAAAACATTGTTCCTCCGCATGTAACTTGTAATTTGATGCTTCAACCGCTAGATGGCCAAAAGTTACATAGTGTATTTTTTTTTGTTATCTACAAAACTCATATTTTAAACACTGCAATTATTTCTATATCAGTTTAATCAACATTTATTTTGTTAACATTCTTCTAAATCCATCCTTTAATGGTGAAATCTCTTATGATCCGGATGCAAAGACTGTCATTCTTTAGTCAATCTATTCTGGTCCCAATCTCTCTGAGCAATTAGCAAAAATACGGATTTAAGGCTTAGTTTAAAGTTACCAACACAGTAAAGCTCTCCAGTAATCCTAGTACATTCCACAGAGACTAATAAAGTCTCTACAGTATAACATCTAATATCAAACTGTATAGGGAACGTTTGAGTGCATGAATGTACAGATTCTTCGGGCTGTGTTTGATTTAATAATGGACAGAAATTGAACTGAAATTCACGCCATGAAGACTGGTTTCCTACACTCCATGATTTTCCCATGTGTCATTTAGTAATGAACGGATAAAGATCTTTAAGTTCACATTTAAAGAGTCATTTCTATCCACAAAAAAAAAAGAACCAGTTGTTTGCATAATTCTCTATATTTAAATCTACTTGGATACAACTTTAGGGTAAGAATACAACAAAATATATGCTTCATATATTGAATATTCAATATACTGTATCAGACATTCTTTCCCTTTTTTGTACATGTGAAAAAAATGATCTGCAAAATACAAAGCAGTGAATGCATGATACAGAAAACAGTGATAGATGCACAGAAAGAAAATTATTTAAAAAGTCTGAAATGACAGAAAAAAACATCTGAATGTCCTTCAGAAAACAGTTTCCTTTGAACTGTAAAAAAAAAAAACACTTCTTGGTACAAAATAGCAACAACAAAAAAAAGTCTCATATTTACACAAAGCACAATCAGTTACTTTTAGTAATGATCTAGGAGGAAAAAGCTGACCTAAGGCTGTTTGTTTTATTATCATTAACTACCGCAATTGTATGTCTATGCACAGATTATTTTATGCTCCAAATTACCAGGTGATCAAAATCTTGGCTGTTTCTCTTCACCCATGTGACTTCCTCTCAGTCTTTAGCACCAAGTGAGGTTCGTTCCTACAGCATCACAGCACAGATGGTATGCTATAACAAAGCGTTATTTGAATAGATACATTTAAGTAATAAAAGAAAGAAAAGTCTAACCCAGGCTTAGGCTACACACGGTGGTTATATTGTTGGGCGTGAACAAGCGTCTGAGCTGTAGTGCTGGTTTCATCCGTTTCAAATAAGAGACAGCCACTCTTCACATCACTTGTTTTATTTGCATCTGTGTCACAAGCATTGATGTCGGTTCCTGTGAATGAATGCAGTGATATTTGAAGTTTGCTCAGCTCAGTGTGGTCATGGGGTTCATCTCTGTGCTCGGTGTGTTCTCCACAGCCATGTTAACGGTATGATCCACGGAAACCTCAGGAGTTTCAACCTTAATAATAGTCACATCCTGTAAAGACATCGCTGGCTGTGCGTTCGGCACCACAGTCACTCCTGGCTGCGAGGTCACCACAGTTACAGGAGCTGTGGAGGCGGTCGTGGAGATGTTGGAGGGGACGGCGAGCTTCAGGACTTGGGCATTGCTGGTAGACACGGTGACGGGGGAGAGTGTACTCAGAGTGATGGGAGTGCCAGGTTTGCCAGGCATGGTGGGAAGGGTGATGAGCTGCAAGGTGATCCTCTCACCGCTTTGGCCCTGAGCAGGCACTAGCGTTGGCATGGCCTGGAGAACCACTTTGCCTGCGCTGTTACCCCCAGCGACTGAGTTGGGCGCAGGGAGGATCGGCGAGCGGCCGGTGGGAGAGTTGACAGTTACTGTGGAGATTTTCTGACCCCGTGTTGTCATGAGTACAGGAACCTGCATGGCAAGCCTCACTGTCCTGGAAACAACAAAAAAAGCATTGTGATGGGTGCGATTTTAAGATGTAAAATATTGACCACATATGAAATACATTTCCCCACCCCAAATTCTGTTTTATTTCTTTCCAAATTCTGTGTTTTTGTTTTATTTATATATTAAATAAATAAATAAATATATATATAAAACAAAAACACATTAAATACATGGGAATTAAAAAAATAATAATAAATTAAAAATTATATATATATATATTCTTATGTATTTAGAGATTTTGTTTTCTGGATTCCATTGAATTTTTTTTTTTTTTTCATTTTCCACATCATAGAATACATACCCGGGGGCTGTCGCCATGTTGTCTGGCGACTGTTGCACAGTCATAAAGGCATCTTGTCCTGAGATTAGATTGATGATTTTAGGTACAGCAGTAGAGGGAGAGACTGGAGTCCCTTTGCCTTTTGAATTGCTGCGATTGGATGCAGCTGGGCTTTCTCTTTTTCCTTCGTCAATGCTGTCGTCCATATTGTCATCATCTATGAAAACAATGTCTTTGGGCATCTCCTTAAACTGATACACAAGTCTTTGGCCTTCCACTTTTGATAAAATGCCCCGCTGATAGTAATACCTACAAAAAATAAATAAAAAAGATCAATTAAGACTGCTAGCACATTTTTTAGTGAACAAAAAAACAACCTTAAAGCTAAAGATAAAACATTACCTGAGTGCTCTCCCCATTGTCTCATAGTTCATGTCAGGTTTATTCTTATGTCTGCCCCATAATTTAGACACCGCTTTGGAGTCCACAAGCTTGAATATGCCCTTCTCTTTCTGAGTCCACTTAATGTACTTTGGACAGGTTTCCTTGTCCTGCAGAAGGTCCAGTAGGAACTCCCACAGGTAAGTAGTTGAGCCTGTTAGAGTCAGACTTAGAAGTTGTGGCACCAGAAAAAAAAAAATCTCTTGCACAAATAAACAAACAGAAATGCTCACCCTTGCTGTCTTTTGATTTCCTCTTATAGACCATATCCAGAGAACCATCACAGAAACTCCGTGGAGTTCTGGGTTTTCGTCCTGCTGGGGAAGCCCACAGCAAACAAATGAATCTCTTCCAAAAAATTACACAGTTTTCAACTATGCTAAGTTGACTTTTGCACTTAGTTAACGTAATTAAGGAACTGAGCTGAAAGCACACTTAAGTAAATGCAATGTACTAATATATATATATATATATATATATATATATATATATATATTATTGCTGTGTTAAAAATATCTATATGACGAAAATACAGCACTTTTATTCTTATACAATAAGACAAATATTAAAATCTCAAAAGGGCAAAGCAGCAGATTGAGATGATTGTCACATATGTATTTCAATTAGTAATGTATTTGATAAATTCAATTCAAGTTTATTTGAATAGCGCTTTTCACGATACAAATCGTTGCAAAGCAACTTTACAGCAAATTAAGTTTCTACAATATTTAGTCGTAGCTTATCAGTGGTGACTGTTAGTTAATGTACATATTAGTGCTGTGTTTAAAATATGTATGTATCGTTACAGAGATTTGACGATACGAGTATCGATACAGCTGGCCTGTATCGATATTGTGGCACGTGTGCAGCAGACTGCGCTTAATTTGTTTACAATTTTACAACGTTTAAAATAGAGTAGAAAAGTGCGAGGTTTCTAAAGAAGAATGAATGGAGCATATATAGGCTATAACAAGGTTTAATCTGGCTGCAGAGGAACACAACTGGGTTGCCTGATATAAAGAGACGTAATCCCCAAAACAGAGCTTTACACTTGCACAATACAGAAATATCTGCTAAGTGTGTTACTTGAGCGATTAAGCTATTTAGTTGATAAAACTGCGGGGCAGCGCTAAAGTTTGTTCCTGAATGTCTGAGTGCGGCCGCAACGTGATCTGTGTGTGTGTGACTGAACTTAACATCAAACTGCTTGTTTCACACAAATGCTGGCACAGTCAGCTAGAGTCGCTTTGAACTCGTGCATCTTCGGAAGCGGAGCTGCACAGAAAGTCCTGCCGCGCGCACCCAAACGAACTTGCGGACGCCTCGAGTAAATCAGCCTTGAGCGTGTGTGCGTTAGATACAGTGAAGACAGCGCGTTAGTTTAGAACTCTTCTAATTTTTTTTAATCGTAGAGAGTGTGTTCATTTGTGCAATGATAACCTACCAGCAATGTAAGTTGTGTTTTTTTATATATTAGTATGAGTACACTACAATATAAATTTATTAGAAGGTGTACATTATTATTTATGGGCTTAAAAACAAGATGCAAACAATCAGAATATTGTACCTGGTGGGGAGTGCACAATGTAAACATGAAACATATGCCATTACCTATATTGTACTGTGGTACCGTTATGGAGGCCCTTCATAATGCAGAGGTCAGCTGCCTGCTCTGCCAATAGTTAGAAATGGCACTATAGTAAGCAGTGTTTAATAAACAGCTGTTTTTCTAAATTCTGCTGAGGTGAAATTCAGTGCAGTCCTGTATCGTGATACGTATCGTGGCCTCTGTATCGTGACTTTGCTGGTGATACACAGCCCTAATATATATATATAAGTATATATGAAGCAATAATCATGCATTTATTTCCAAACATATCTGTAGTTCATGGTATTGGGAAAAGCGTGGTTCACCTCTTTTTTTCTTCTTCAGTAAATCGGTCTCCTGCAGGACAACAATATCCTTGGCAACGGGTCCCATATCCTCTGTTCTCACTTCAACCTCCACCTCAGAAAAAAGCTCCTCTGCAGAGATTGAGATCTATTGTTATTTTTACTCTTCACACAAATGTGATATACTGAGTAAGTAGTAGTAATTTGTTAGGTTAGGTTAGCCTGTATTATAGGGTGACCATACATGCCATTTTCCCAGGACGCGTCCTTGCCAGGATTTGTTTTGGCTTGGCTTTGTTTTCCTGTTTCCATGCTTGCTGAAGGTAATGATCGAAAAGTAGTTTGACCAATAACATGCAGGCATTGTACAAAATGGACCAATCATGGTGTGTGTGAGAAGGTGGGATCTACGGACAAAGCGATGCAATTACACGTACATAGGATGTGTGTTCGACTTAAAAGCAGCGTGGCTCACATCAGTGTTTGACATCAAAGTACCTCGAGAGCATTTTGAAAGCGTAAGGAACCATCTGTATGGTATTTTGATGTCATACACCGATGTACACATGCAAACAAAGCCAAAACCTAGATATTTTAGGCAATATAGAAATCCTGGCCAGGACGCGTCCTGGGAAAATGGCACGTATGGTCACCCTACTGTATTACAGCATGCAGTGCATGTGTAGATGTAAAGCTCACCTGTGCTGCGATCGCCCTGCAAGCTGGCCGGTGAATCCATGTGCAGCAGAGCTTCAGCTGCTTCAACAGTTTTATCATGCACAGAGACCTCCACTAAGAGAGAGAGAGGGGAGAATTTTTTTTTTTTCTTGCACAATAAAAACAAGCAAACAAATTTGTTTTCCTATTTCGATGTTCATTGGCTACACTGCATCTTACAAAACAATGCTAAGCGCTCATTGGCCAGGCGTCCTGTCACTCAACGACCTATAACGTCTATAAGTTTACTTCCGCCCTAAACTTCGAAAACGAAAAGCGTATTTTTAATAATATATTTGATATACTGCACCCAGCGAAAGTGCTTGAATAGTTCTCTGTATCAAATACAATAAATCGCAACGTTACTTGTTTATAAAACCAAACGTTTACAACGCTTTTTGCATCAATCTCGACTTAGTCTCATAAAACCAAAAGCTAACCAATTCAGATTTCTTACATGACGCTTTTAATGTAAAAAAAGCAAACCCGCACCCGTTATCCTTCAAAATAGACCGCAACAAATTTGTTAATTGTTGTCTTTGTGAAAAGACATCAGTAAAAAGCAGAACCGTTAGCTGATTTAAACAAACAATCAAAGCCAACAAAAATTAAACGGCGGCTACAAAACATTTGAACCCTCAAGCTCTACCGCAAACCCCTGTTAAGACGTAAACCCTGTTATAAACACTTTAACAGACAGCGTGGCTAAGACGCAAAAAGAAAACAAACACACTTCCTGGTTCCAACAATCAGCATCAATCCGCTAAGAACAAATAACTCCAACTGACTGTAAACGAACATTTTTGAATATACACAACACCGATGGCACACACTACTCTAAAAACACAGAATAAAATTGTCGCTAAAACAAAAGAGCAAGAAATTACTTAGTATTACTTAAACTTGGCGCACGGGTTGACGACAGCTGCTCTTCACTTCCTGGTTGTCAAACGCTTCTTTTGCATCCTTCACTTCAACAGGAGCCCAGTGCGCGTTACCTCAAATCACGTGACACACTTATGTGATGAGTGATGTATTTTTTTATTGTTTACTATCTTTGAGTAAATCGAACTGGTGTTTAGATATCATTGTGAAACTGAGTAGTCAACCAGCAGCATGCTGTATAAAAACGATCAATAACCTCTAAAATTATACAAATAATTACCAATATCTCTCAGGCTTCAGTTACAAAGACGACAATGCAACTATACATAAGCTTCCCTTCTGCGTTTTTAAAAGGTAAATAGAATTCTGAGCAGTCAATGTTGTATTTCGCATGTTTGAGCACAGAGAACAAAACAAAACAAGACAAACAAAATACAGAACAAAAATAATACAAAACCATCGTTTCCATCCAGATTAAAGTTTGCATAACCTATTTACCCTTTTCCATGTTTTTCAAGTGTACTAATCCTACACAAATTATACTGTCAAGAAGCTTTGTTTTTCTAATGTGTATCTTCCACAAAAACGCCACAAGATGTCCCTGTTTAGCTGTTTCTGCTCTTAAAAGAAAATTAAGCCCTCTAAAAAAAAATACAGGGCATATTTGGAAAAGACTCTAAAATCACCATCATGTTTAGTGGTAAACATGGTAATTCAAACAAGTCAATGCAGTCAAAAAACAAGTGCTACAACTTGACTACCTCACTGATTGCTCGCTCAAGCAAACGCATAATACAGCATTTTCCTTGCATGGAAATACAGCCCTCTAACAACTGTGAGAATCACTGCTTACCTGTTGCCATCTCTTGCAACTCAGTCTCCACAACCTGTTCCTCAGCCACATCCTGCACCAGGTAGGTATTCTGATCATCATAGACTAACACCTGAGCAGCATAACACTGCTCCACATCAGCACTATTCACCTGCTCCACTATCACTGCAGGGCAGGCCTTCTCTCCGTCAGCCTCCACCCCATCAGGACAAATCTCCTGGGAAAAAACAAACACTTTGAGTTTCCTTAAAATGTTTTTAATGTAGATTTTAGTTAAGCTGCCATTGTAATATGAGAGGGTGTATTTTGTACAAATGCGGACTTCACCTGCTGAGCTTCCTCATCTCCAGCGACATACTCCAATATATTCCCTCCACCATCTACAATCACCACAGAGGTCATGACTCATTCCTCTGTGTCAGAACCGCACTTATCCACTGCGCCCCTGCTGATGACCTTGAGTGACCTCACAGCCTGAGAAATAAAAACAGTCATTGGTAAATGCAGTGTGGAAAACTGTGCACTGTGTGTAAAATATCAATATCTTTAAACCATACCCCTCAACATACTGTTCAGACAAATCATTGTAAATTAATTAAACTATTTAAGAATTAAAATCTCCCAAAGGCATTTGTACTAAATCTTGTGACTACTTCGGTCAACAGGGTACGGATATCATCTGATGTCTTTTCAGTTGGCATGGAAATAATCTAATATTAATAAAGAGCACAAGCAGACCTTCAGGCAAACAAATGCACACACACGCAGAAACAAAACAAGAAAACGGAAGAGGCCTGTATCCTGCTGGCAAAAGTGATCTTAGCCCAACCATATTCACGGTTTCAGGGGGTTTTTTCTCAAAAGAAAAACCCCTAAGGGTTGTGCCCATTTCATGCCCCATCTTTGCTTTTAATTTCCTCTACTGTGTTGCCCTTTATCACGGTTTTCCATCAAGCATAACAAAATGTAAACACTGATACTAGACCTTTTTTTTTTTTTTATTGAACAGTATCAATTTACACACTCAAATGGGTCAGGGGGGTTTTTTCTCAAAAGAAAAACCCCTAAGGGTTGTGCCCATTTCATGCCCCATCTTTGCTTTTAATTTCCTCTACTGTGTTGCCCTTTATCACGGTTTTCCATCAAGCATAACAAAATGTAAACACCGATACTAGACCCTGACTAGGGGTCTGTTATATTACTGACATACAAATAGCGCCTCCATTCTCATGCGATGACATATTGTATCAACTGATTTTTTTTAACAAGGAGTGGCCAAATTTGAAATATTAACAGTGAACAGAAAACAAATGAAATTGTATAGAAAAAAAACACCCACGAATCATTAGTTCGGTAAACAAACGCTTGAGGTATAACTTAAACAGCCGCGCTAAAAACAAACCGCCATCTTTCTAATGATGGCTAAATGAATTAACTTTAACCTCTTATGTATGTATACATAGAAATATCTGATATTTCTCACCGTTTGTGATGATTTCTTGTCGTTTGGTGCACCTCAAGACACTCGAGTGCACTCTGTCATAAGGTTAGCATGCTAACCATGCTAATGAGACTGATGTTAAAGCGGGTCAACTTGCGCGAACTGCACGCTGATAAAGAGCACGCATGCATGCGATAGACAGATGTCTATTTGGTCAATGTAAAATATAAAAAGATATGAGTTTTGACAGGCTGCGTTGGTGCAGTAGCTAATGTTTTGCGTAGCTGGTCTCGGGCCTCCCGTTGCAGGATCTGACTGACGAACTGCGCAGCAACCGTAACTGACGTAACATACACCCTTGTCAGGTGCGCGCGCTAACATTTCAACAAGCTCAATTTAAAAACACAATAAACAAAAAAAAATGGGATAGAGATCATGACATAAATAAACTATGTTTAATACTATCACAATAAATAATATCATAATAATATATTTAAATTAGCAAATGTTTCCGGGGGAGGTAGCAGGCAGATATAAGTTAATATACACAATGTAGTACATCACCTCGATATATTTCAAATATACAATAATATAATTGAAATCGCAATCTGTACAGTCGTAACCTCAGACAAATCTCTATTACTAATAATTTCCTGAAAATGCTTCTCCTGAAATCACCAAAATAAGGTCATTCCCAAATCTAATATTGCAGCTTATTAACAGAGAAATCTGCACTGAAGCGCCTGATAATGAAACAATCACACAAAAATATGTTTTAACTCTTTATTTTTCTTTGACATACATTCACAGTTTAAAAAAACCCTAGTAAGGGCCTACAGTGAAAGAGAAGCCTCATAAGAGCACATGAATGTGTATTAAATTCCTAACCCTTAAAACAAAAACAGAAAAGAACCCGTGAAAACACCATTTCTACTGAACCATACTTCCCATTATTCCCTCACATTCACATTATGTAGATGCAATCTTACTTATAACACTTATAAGGTCCCTTTTGAAATATGAAGGAAATAAGTGACAAAATTGTTAGGTCTTTTTTTATTATTATTATTATTTTTTCCTTTGTGGATCCACATATGCCCGTCTACCAGTTTAAAATCTCAAATCATATGAGCATCAAAACTGTAGTATCAGTGAGAGTGTAACGTTAGCGTAACCTTGTTTTTGCCACATCAAGCAAAGGACTTTATTTATGTATTTTTGCGAAACAATTTGTATAATCACAAGAGAAGAGAGAACAGCAAAACAAAGGCAAAGGAGTATAGCAGTGGGGTCTGCCTTTTGGATAACACTGTAGAGACTCGCTTTAGAAATGAATACTGGAATGTGACTTGTAACATGGCTTATTGTTGTTGTATTGACTATATTGGTAAAGGTAATCGGTTTGTCGGCTGTTTTTTGACCAAGTCATGTCCCATTGGTAATGCCAGCTGGTTACTATAATACTGGTTACTAGAAAAAGGAGAACACTGTCTTTTCAAGCTGAGGTAGAGAGGTACAAAAAATAATAATAGTGCTAATTCATAAATAATGCAAATGAAAAATAGATTGAAGACAGAGGAGAACCAGAAAACTGATGGCCAGCATGCAGGTATGACAGTGTTTGTGGCAAATTTGTAGCCCTGCTGGTTGCAACTATTGACATGCCAATTCCAAGACATGTCCTATAATGTGATGTTTGAGGTAGGGTTCACTATAGTATAGGCTCCAATGTGCAGTTGAGTCAAAAAGAGTGGAGTTCCATTTAAAAAGGCTATAAATATAGGTCACAGCTTTTCATGCACATTATAATTTTCAAGAAACTTTTGTCTCACATCAGAGTGAAGTGAATGTTCACATGAAGTAACCACTCTCCAGTGGAGAGCAGTGGAAATAGAGTATTATTTTGAGCTGAGTCGGAAGGAAACTGCATATTGGGCCCAGTGTAAGGATTACTGAAATCCAGGGGCTCAAGGAAATGGGGAAGGCACATCACTAATTGTTTATCAGGGAACCGGTTTACTATCCCATGACATCTGACTGCTCCCAACTGAGAAAATGCAAAACAAGAATGAAAATATCATGTCAATATACACTAACTTTTAAAGGTTTGGATCGGTAAGATTGGTTAATGTTTTTAAAGAAGTCTCTTGTGCTCAATAAAGTTTCTATTTTAATATATAAAAAAAATAGAAGTATTATATAATAGACTATAATAGAGATGTTTACATTTCCAAACATTACATTTGATACAAATATCAAATTTCAATTACTATTATTAGAAAATATATTATGTATTATATTATTAAAACACAAATTAACATAGAAAACATGATTTTTTACCTTTTTTAGTTGGTATTAATACATCTGCACTTTAAGCATATGGTGCTTGCCCTAGGAAAAATATTAAAAAGTAACATTTATATAATAAAAATAATGTCAAAGTATGTCAAGAATTTACATCAGAATACACACGCCTTTGTCTTAATTTATCTTACCATCTTCTAGCTAATTCAGTATTAATCTAATTTCAAGTATTTGTCAAGCAATGATTCTGTTAATCCACATTTTTTCTCCCATCATTATGTTCTTAACTAGTTAACCAGCAGTGCATTGTTAAACCAGATTACCTGTTACCTGTCCCGATGGCTCTTCACCATCATCAGGGGCTGGGATGATCTTGCCAGTCACGGGTGATACACCGAGCACCATTGGCTTCTTTTCTGTTTTGGGAGCTCCCTCCAAGACAACCAGTATGTAGTGTCGTTTGGGCTCTTCCAAAGGTGCACTTGACGTTTCAGCTGGAGCAACTTCCTCAGTGACCACTATGCTTGCAACATCTGTTTCAACAACACTTTCTGTAACTTCCACAACTGGACTTGCTGCTTGTTCCTCGACTATACTTACTGGAGCCTCCACAACTGCACTTTCTGCAATCACCTCTTCTGCCTTCACTTCCTCAACCACTGAAATATCCTCTTCTGCTACTTTGGCTGCAAGTGTTTCCTCAAGTTCTTCAGTTGCTACAACAGGTGCGTCTTCAGTTACAAAGGAAACGGCTGCCTCTTCTGGCACAGGGGCAACAGGCATCTCTTCTATCACTGGGGCAACTGATACCTCCTCTGCTGCTGGGGCAATAGATGTCTCTTCTGTCACTGGGGCAACTAAAACTTCCTCTTCTATCACAGGGACATCAGATGCTTCTTCTGAGGATACTGGAGAATCAACTGGTGTCTCCTTTACAACTGGAGCCACTTCTACCACTGGGGAAACTGGTGCTGCTTCATTCACTGGAGCAACAAATACTTCTGCTGCTGAATCAACTGGTGTCTCCTCTGCTACTGGAGACTCTTCTACCACTGTGGCAACAGGCTCATCTACAACAGGGGAAACTGATATTACTTCCGTCACTGGAGGAACGGACAATTGCTCTGCTACAGGAGGCTCTTCTATTACAGTGGCATCTGGTGCCTCTGCTACTTCTTCTGCTACTAGAGAAGCTGGTTCCTCCTCCATCACTGGAGCAACAGGTGTCATCTCTGTTACTGGTACATTTTCCAAATGATCTGTTGTAGGAACCTCAGTGGGCATCTCTGGTAGAGCTTCAACTGACACATCTTCCACAGATTCAGACTCCACAGGAACAGCCTCGATCACGGAGGCAGCAGCCAGCTTTACTGTTTCTGCTGCTGGTGTGCTAACCAACCCTACAAGACATAATCAAGCCACCCAATAATTACACACAAAAAAACAGACATTAGGAATTAAATGACTTATTCAAAGGTTTTATAACTGTCAATTTTAAGTTCAAATTGTCATTTCTCGGTGTGTGTGTCTGGAGTTTAAAACAAAAGATTAATCTAGACACAGACAAAATAGGAAAGATAGAAATGAGACTACGAAAAGTAGAGTACACAGGTTCATCCCCACTACATTAGTGATAGTTTTAACAAGAAAGAAAAGAGCTTAAGTAGCCTAAGTAAAGTTTAGTGCATTCCGGTATGATCTATGGTGTCTATCTTTGCATTTCACAAAATGTAAGAGACTTTCAGCGAGTATCATTATGCATGATCGCAGCATGCAGCGCCATTTAGGGGTTTCCCATCATTCAGAACATACATTAAGAGGCTTTACTGCCAAATATCACTTAGAAAGGGGCACACCACAAGTATAACTACAGCAAAAGTTAAGAAATAAAACAACTCTTTATGTAGAGATGATATTATTGGTTATAATGTACAACACCAAGGACCTTTACACTAAATGCAGCATTTTAAAACATTACTTTTAAAACGGAGTATGAACTTGTGTTAAAGATGTTATATTTCAGTTTGTAAAAGCAGAACCTTTTCAGAAAAAAATTATACGCAGAATATTTTTGATATTTATCAATTTCATTTTATTAATTGGCTTTGAATCCCTTATCCACTTTTATTACACGATTGCAATTTCCAAATAAATGAGCAGTTTCATTAATCACACAACACATGACCTTCTATGTAGGTTACTGAGTTCCTTGTCAGTTCAGTCATACAGAGGAATATAAAGGGAAAACTAATACAGAAACACATATGGCCAAGTTGCTAGGGAGCAAAACACTCACAGTTTTCACAATTTTAACTGGCGTGTACCAACTAAGTGATATCTGGCAGAGAAGCACGTTTTCGACTGAACTGTTACTGTTATTACAAAACAACAAATAACTACATACAGCAGTACATTTGTTTTTTTGTGCCTCAAATAGCAGATAAGGCAGGATAGAAGGCTGACAGAATGACAGAAGGTTGGCTGAGATTTGTGAGAAGATTGAGAGTGAAGCTAAGAGTAAGAAGGAGAACAGGAGTAGATGGTCTGAAGTGTGTCCATTGGAATGTATGGTCACATGTAACAAAAAGCAGCAACTTTGGATTCTCACAGTGGTTTCTACAGTTATTAATACTTGAAATTGTTTTATAATTTATATAATTTTCAAATATTTCCAGCAAAATCCAGGAATAGAATAAAAATATACACAATAAGCTGTGCGCTATATAGTGGGATGACATTATTGCAATTCAAGCATCAAATCCTGTTGTATAACACATTGATGCAAAAAGAGGTACAGTATAATGAAGACTATACAGTTAATCACATACACTGTCATTTAGTTAATGTGTCTCTGAGCACCTTAAAACTGCAGTTTATGACTAAAGAATATACTTCCAAGAGAGGAAAAATTAGGAAGACCTGCAGTATTTGAGCAATAAAATCTCTCTTAATTTTGTTCAAGTACCATGTTTTGTTCTTTTTTGATTGTAAGGGTAACATGTTTGGATAAAGTGAGACAGTGACCATTTTGCTGTATAGGACATTTGAGTCTTCCGTATCTTGTGTGTGTGTGTGTGTGGGGGGGTGAGTGTTTGAGTACCCATGAGCCATTTAGGACTCTGTACTAGTAGCCTCTGCTACTGCCTCCTCTTGGGGGGCTGGTGGCATACCGTTGCTCTCTGACGCCGGCTCTTCAGCTTGGATAACAGGAGTTACGACAGCCTCTGCTGCTGCTTCTACTTCCTCTGCTACCTTCTGCACTTCGTCTGCCACCGCTGCCACCTCCTCTGCGGTTTCATGAACAACCCCCGCCACCTCAGCAACCACCTCTGCAGTCTCTGCAACCTTTTCCACAACGGTCTCAAGAGTTCCCACCTTCCCTCTGGTGGCCTCGTCTGTTTCCAGCAAGACCTCAGCTGCCTCAGCAGGAACATCCTCCTCGGCTGTGCTCTCTACAGTTTCTGCCACCTCTCCTTCCTCTGCACTAGCTTCTTCTAAACAGACAACAGAAGAAAGAACAATTAGGCATCAAGCTACGTTTTCATTTTTAGCACACTCATACTCACTTTTGAATCTCACATAGAAATGACTGGTTTGAAATTATATGAAATTATATTTTGCCTAATGAAAATTAAACCAATTTTAAGACTAAGATTATTTTATAAGATTATAAAATAAGAAAAAAAATTTTTTTTGAAAAGCATATTTTGCAATAATCTAAAAAAAAAAGAAACCAGTACACTGCAGTAATTCAAATTATCCTGTCATAAATTAATTTAATTGAGATCAATCTATACTGCCATGATGTTTTTACAATTTAGAGATTTTTTTCCATAATTTATTATTTATAAAATACAAATTATTACCATTTATTATAATTTTCTTATTTACATTTTACAATTACATTCTCTTACATTACTAAAATCATAAAAATCCAAATGTAACTTTTCATAAGTAATTACTTTCAATGAGTGAAATTCAATTTTTATAGATTTTTCATTTATAAATACAGAGAAGTAATATTATAGATCTTGCAAAATATTACTTTTAATTCAGGAGTGTAATGATACCTAGACAGTTTTTGTAAGGTGGTAATATAATCACCAATATCTATAACTTTACTTTCCTAATATTCATAAATTAACAATCTTTTGAGAACTAACTGCAAATAATATATAATAATATAATAAACTATATAATACTTTATAATGATTTTAGTAAATGTAAGAAAAGTAATTATTAATCAAATTATTATTTTTATTATATAAATAGTAATGATAATTTAATTATTTAGTTGAAGTATAATATATTATGGTAGTATTCATTTAACTGAATTTAATTTATGCTAGTTACCCAAGAACATCAGTGCAGTTAAGAACATCCATATACACAGTCAAATGTTTACATTTGCCACCATGCCTTTCAAAATGTCTCACACACATCCATCTTATCAAATCTCCTGGAACACCCAATAAATAGCTAAACGGGGAATATAAATCTAGCTTTGTCAAAATCACACACAACCCAATCACTACAGGCAGCATGCAAAACCCAAGAATGAGGAGGGAGAGTAAAAAGAGAAACTGAACAGAAACAACAGGAAGAAAGGGGCTGGGAGGACAGGTGAGGAGAGGGAATACAAAGATGGCTGAGCCTTACCATCTGTTCAAAGTTAGCAGTACCAGCAACTCTGTGAATTCCAAGAACACAGAATAACAACCAAAGGGGATTTGTTGTGTGTGTATTTAATTAGTTAACTCACAGGGAAGCAGTCTTTCAATTTCTACTGTATTACACCACAATTAACATTTTAAATAAGAGTTTAAAAATCAATGGAATGAAAAACATCAGTTCAATGGAAAAAGCAGGACTCATAACGACTTTAGCTCAGAAGAGAATCATCCAAAAAGTTCTGACTGAAAACTATAGGTGACCAGCCCAGACTGTCCGAATTGGTTTACTCTGGAAAGAGTCAGAGCAAAGAGACAATTAGGAAAGTTAGGAAAAAGAATAGGTGAAGCTTTGAGTTTGTTGTTTAATATTCTGTTTTGGTATTTGAAAGACCACAGTATAATGTTTGCTTGTTTGTGTTTAACGCCATTCCAGCTTCTATGGCTATTTTCATGGCGAGAAATATTATAGCTGAATTATATCATGTTTTTATCATTTAGTTTTGCTAAAAACTCCAAAACTGTATTTGGCTTAACTCTGTTAAAAATCTCTTCAAAAGAGTTAACTGAATAAAAAAAAATTCTCAATGAGTTAAAACCAGCACAATCTAATAAACATGTTGGAGGATCTTCCTCTAGTATTAAAAACTTGTGTGTCACGAACAATTCTACAGTGGGTATAAACAATCTGGTCCCATCGGTTAAAAAATTCTAATCATTAAAATAGGAGCACAGGTAAGTAAGATGGGAAAAAGTGTTGTGAGAGAAAATGGGAGTGCACAGGGGTGCAGATGGATCATATACACAGTTTATTCTAGAGGTGAAAGAGAAAGCCACCCAGTTCTGGATTAACAGGCTTTCCAACAAATAGGATCAGGGGATTAGGTGAGTTAGAAGGGTGACATGAGAACAACTCTTTAATCCAATCATACATTTATGCATTTGGCAGATGCCTTAATCCAAAGTGATTGCATTCAAGGTATCCATTTTATCAGATCATACTTTCCCCAGGAATTGAACCCATGAACTTGGCATTGTAAGTACCACACTCTTCAGGAATGCTGTAGCGCAAATAACACAAAGACAAAAAATGCCATAAAAATGCATTGTTTAATCAAAATCAGTCTTGTTTAGCTTACTTTTCGGCTTCAGTCTGTGGAAGATCTAGGCTCTTTGGCATTGCAGTTTAGCCATCATTCTACCAATATCTGCCCACTGTAGTGTCATTACAGGATATTTGCAAAACTTAAGTTGATCCTACTTGGCATATAGCAAATATTAATCAGAACAGGTCATAACCTATGTGCCAAGAATATAATATTTGTCCGGTGTTTTGCAGCCAATAAGGTATCAGGATCAACTAAAGGGGAGGAGACTGAAAAGTAGGAGGCGTCATCATTTAGTTAACCTTTGACTTTCAGAAATCAAGGCTATAATACAGTTCCAGCAATAACTCTCAAAAATACTTATGCAGCAGTTCAGACCATGCAAGTTAAAGCACAAGTTAGTTTTAGTAAACTTCACTAAATTGATCCCATTTGTTTTGAGGCAAACAGATGTGTTACACAAACATTTAAAAGACAAAACTGTAATTTTTCCATTTAAATATCATAATAAAGTTATTTATGGTACATCATGGAGAAATTATGACATAAAAAGATCACACATGAACTCACCATTGCCATTCTCCTCACCTAAAAAAAACAAACAAACAAAAAAAATTAAATGATGGCACATTGTAATCTGAAATGTCAATGAACCCTGAAGCGGCTGTATAAAACTTTGTCAACAGTCACTCACTCATATCAGACCGCATAATATCCCCTTATTTATTATACTTGAATGAGAGCGCTTTTTAATGCTGCTGTCATTTAGATAAGGCAGTTTAATAATGTTTGAAAAACAAACAAACAAAAAAAATTAAATGATGGCACATTGTAATCTGAAATGTCAATGAACCCTGAAGCGGCTGTATAAAACTTTGTCAACAGTCACTCACTCATATCAGACCGCATAATATCCCCTTATTTATTATACTTGAATGAGAGCGCTTTTTAATGCTGCTGTCATTTAGATAAGGCAGTTTAATAATGTTTGGCTCAGATGCTGGAGTGTTGAACATGCTTGGATTTGATAGTTATTTAATGTGGTGGAAGTGAATTTGGCAAGACTGTGACGGTGAACTAAGAGGGAAAATTTCAGCTGTCTAACATTATTGTGAGAGGGTGCCAAATGTCTTCCACATACCCCAACTCGAAGGGCTGCAATGTATTATTTATTTATTAGATCTCATATTTTTGGATACAGACATATGCTGACAATTTAGATCAGCATTCCTGATGCCACTGAGAATGAAATTCACAGGGTTACTACTACCAGCGCTGTGTGAATAGCATTGTTTTCATTGCATATGTCCAACAAGATTATCTGTATATGACCTTATGCCCATATCTTTCATCTTGAGACAGCTATGCTAGTATTCAACTTCCTGTAGCCAGGTAAATGGTTTCTGCTCTTGCATCCTAGTTTTAACAGGCCATAGGAAAACCTGAATCCCAAAAGTGACACTGACTAAATTACAGCAATAAAATCTGATGTTTAACCAGACCATAGGTAGGGCTGGACGATATGGCCAAAATTGATATCACGATATATTTCTTCATTTCGGTCGATACGATATAATTCCGATATCGATATGAACACTATTTATCTGAATTCGAAATCTTTTGTAACATTATAAATGCCTTTATCATCACTTTTGATCAATTTTAAGCATCCTTGCTAAATAAAAGTATTAATTTCTATAATTTCTTTCCCAAAAAATTAATAAAAAT